CAGTAATTCTAATTCCACATCCGTCTTTTTTAACATAGCGTCCCAGCTAAGGCTAGGACCGGTCAGATATTGGGCAGCGTCAATTTCGTACTCGCGTAAACACACGCCTCTGTAGTTTTCAAATATATCGGCCAATAAAAGCACGTCAGATTTTAAATAAATGTCCGAGTATTCGCCCAACGTCTGGCAATTAAATAAATTCCAAACTTCCTGAGCACGTCTGTATTCTTCATCGGTAATGTCCTGCTCGTGCAACATATCAAAGAAATCGCTTTTATTGGGGATCGTAGTTAGATTAAGCTTATCGTATGAGTCTACAAACGAATACGGAAAAACACCTTTTTGTCGAATTAATTCAAATTCACGTCCAGATCCAAAAAATTGTGTAATTTCAGTGCACTCGCTATCACTCAAATTTTTGGCAAGAACATTTAATGAACTGGCCAGAAAACGAAAACTATCGACGAAACGTATTCTCCATATTAGGTTTTTTGGAACTCCGTTCTCCACGATTTGATCTACTACAATATGCTTCGAAAAAGAAATGTATTTTTCCTTATTTCCGGCAATAACGTCTATATTTTCATTCTCTAAAGCCAGGGATTTAACGAAAAGATGGCTGTCGTACCCGGTCAAATTGTGGAAAAATACAGGGATAAAATTTGGGGTTTGAAGCTGTAAATTACATATAGAATGACATAATCCGGCCCTGACGAAAGAAGTCTGATGGTCGTGGTCGATCACTTTTACATCTCCCTCAACAAAAGGTTTCTCACAAATCCCATAATTTGTGGCAAGATTAATTTTTCTCCGTTCCTCTTCTGTTAAAATTTGTAAAGGTTTACTTTGCTTAAAATGTTGATTGTATATGGTTAGAATATCATTCTCTAGTATATTTATAAACTGCACTGGAGCATTGGCACCTCGATAAATTTGAAACTTTGAAAATTTATCATCAAAAGAACATTTAATATAATACTCGAACGAATATGGTTCGTGCTCAAATGTTTTGGTAGTAAATTGAAGAAGAGGATTCGGTTGAGGTCCTTCTATGGGCTTAAGCAACGATTCGAAATCCGCATAGACAACAAACGGGTGTTTGACTTTATTTTGGTAATTATTAAATTTAAGTCGATTATCAAATGACGGCTGGCCCCACTTTGTCAAGATAGGTTCCTTTGTAGGCAAAAATGTACAAACATAATTACAATCGAATCTAGAATGGCGCCACAGGTTTTCCTGACTTGTAAAATATTGCAAGCATCCGTCACATAGATAAATAGCTTCTTTGTGCTTGGACACTTGCATGGAAATTAATCGCGACATATTAGAAATGTAGCAGTAGTGACTGTTGCCATCTAAATTAGACAAGTATAAAAGATTTACATGCACGGCTTTCTTTTGTTTGGTATAATGTAAAGGACCTACTACTTTATATGTCATTTTACCTTGTTTCTGTGTGTCCTCCTCTAAACCGTAAACGTTAATGGACAAGGGATTCATTTCTTCAAATTTTGATATCGCATCTAATTTTACCGGGAACGTTATTCCTTCAAAATTGAACTTTTCTAAATAGTCCGGATACGAATCCGGTTCGCAGGGATGTCCAGTTGGAGTATAAATAGCTGCAACTAGCGCCCATCCAAAACATCCGAAAACCTCGTTCTTTACATTAATAATGGCTCTTTTGCGTGAGATAAATGCAGGGGTCGGTATGAATGAAGAAGCTCGTAGCGGGTTATATTTATTAATGTTCACTTCCATATATAACCAGTGCTGAAGAGCCCATCCTAGAACAAATAATTATGTAAACATGGCATAAACAATTGGATATTAATACCTGACTCGCGATGTTCAAATTCCGTTGCGTCAACTTCCAGTTTTTCGATGATATCCTTAAACCATTCACTTAAGTCGGAACTTATCGTCAATACTTGGTTTCGAGTATTAAAAGACTTAACTTCTCCTCGATCCTTCGATTCCAAAATAAAATAACCAAACAGCTCGCAGTTCACTTTAACGCTACCCATGATATCAATTTGCTCACGAACTAATTTTTTTATTACGTCAGCCAACGATTCGACAAATTCCTTCAGATTAATGTATTGTGTTTTCGCTGATATTCTGTAGCTCACAATGCGAGACTTGAAGGCTGACGTAATTACTTGAACACCTTCAGTTGAAAACGCAAGGGAATTATTTTTATGTTTGACACTTCGCAAATGTCCAACATAATCTCGGCTTGAAACGTGCTCCGAACACACATCGCAAAATCTCTGGGTATCGTGTGCAACTTTGAGCTTCTTTGGAGATGGTTCTTGAGCTACGATTTAAACACTTTTTTTTGCAAGAGTAATAAAAATTCCTTACCTCTACATGACTTTTTGAGATGGCGTCGAAGATTGCTATTAGTAGCGAATGATTTATTACATTTTTCACACATAAATATTTTTGATTCCTATAAAATTGAGTCACAAATGAAATAATTTCGCAACTTTCTCACCTTATAAACGAACTTGATCTCCTTTTTTAAATAAGTAGTTGGTACACCGGCTTAACGATCCCCCAAAATCTGAACTCTTCAATATTTTTACTGGAAGCTCCTAGATAACAATAAATGACAAAAAAAAGTAACTCCACTCAATTACTTACCCTACGGATAACTGTTGGATGTCCGCTAATAACTTTGCTCTCCTTTCAATAAGGTGCTCCACTTGGCAATGGCACCACTGGAGATCGCAAAAATACTTTTGAATAAAAACTTTCCGATTTCTATTACATTTTATTACCTTTTAAAAATAAACCCTTGACCAAGCATTTCGTTTTAGAATAAAAGATAACAAACCTTACATATCCATTCAGTAGTCATGTATAAAACGTTAATAATAATGGGTTAAGTATATCGTTTTGTCTTATAACAGGATTTACTTTGTAAAAGATTCACCAAGTTATGGGAAAAAAAAACTCGAAAATTCGAAAACTCTTCGATCTAGGCTTATAATTTTTATTTAGTAAATTTATTCAGTTACGTAAAGTACCTAATAAAGGAAAATAAATGAATCCCATTCAAAAATAGCTAAGTGTGTGTATGGCTGCCAAGCGCCTGCAACCCTTAACGCGAACACGAAACAATGACTAAATACGAGTGAAGTGAATGTTTCTGTCCATTTTTACGTTTTATGAGAAAGCTGTTTCATTCTAATTTAGCTTAGAGACATCCAAAATTCGATTATTATTTTTATAATCAAACTCACACTCAAACGAGATTTATTACAATAATAAATTGTAAATCCATTAACTTTTACGCGTATTTCAAGTCTGTTACTCATACACCGTCTTCCATTAAGACGTGTTAAATCATGTGTAATTAAAATATTCGTAGTAATTTAGTGCAGTAATAAATTAGACATCCATTACCTTATTACAGTCGAACTATGACATCAAAATAATCATACGCGATTTATTCCATTAAGATTGAATACACATAGGCATTGATTAAAAAATACCTACTTTACTACTCCGAAGGTTTCTTAATGTAAAACTGTTTGCACTTGATATTTGTATTTTATCTTTACCCATAAGTGTCCACTTAACTAAAATTTTATGATTCCTAAAAATCCGAAACAAATGTATTAGTATAGATTACGCTATTTCAGACCCTTATTGAACTGTATAAGGAATGAACGACAGTTTTACGATGGTTTTTTTCGCGTTTCGGATTACATTACAATTAATTGTATAAAATTCCCTATAAAATATGTAGACCACTTTTGCTGTGATCGATAGATGAAATGAAATGCTACTTCCACTTAAATACGTATCCGCGAATTTGTATTTATCACAACACCTAATTATGGGTGATTTTGCTTTACGTAAAACGGATTGGCTTGATTACGTTTATTGCTTAATGTGATTCGAAGTTTATAGACCACGATTCATTTTTGCTTATTTATTATATTTAGATCCAGGTTTTTTTTCCCTATTAATTATAGGCATCCATTAAGCACTACTGCTATGTTTACTTTAAATTAAATTATTATCACTTTATAGAGGAAGACATATTTGGGCATGTAATAAATTGTAAATGCATTAAGTTTTACGCGTTATGTTCCATTAATTGGTAACACTTTAATTTTTTTCCTGTATGTAAAACGCATTAAACTTACTAAACTACATAAATTACCTCAGATTCCCTGCGATAATTTAACTACATCAAACCCAAATTATTATAACAGCGCTCGGGCAACTTGTCATTTAATGACAAGCACGGTCTACAGAAAATGTTCCTGGCCAGTTAATACTGAATAGATTTCAAAAAATTAAGGACCAGTTAAACGAATGCACTGTAATTTACTCCGGCGAAATTTTGCTAAATTTTTTTTAACAGGGTAGCACACTCATGAACGTTGATGTTTTTCAACTTCATTTTAAAGTGGAATATACCCGAGTACTGTTCAGGAAATTGGGTATTTTGAATATACTGAAACACGACTTCTTTGAATCTTCATAATTTATTACACACTTAAATGAGATTACTAAGAATTAAATTTATGAACTTTTCTTTGTTCGAAATACAATTAATTTCAAATTTCAAATATTTTATTGTCGATTATTTCCAAGAAATATTGACATCGTCATTTTCATTTGAATCACAAACATTATGTATACATCGCTGTTCCGGAAGAACAATGACACAACTGAAAAACCACAACTTCGCTTATTTGTGCTAAATTAAGATTTCATTTATTTTATTACCGAAATAATAAATGAACAATACCATTTAGTTCAGACACACTGGGCAAATTATTGGCACTTAATATATATTTTTAAATGGTAATAAATATAAATACTCATTTTTAAAACCAATGGAGATATTTGATATTAAGTCGATGTTCTTCTGAAATCAGGAAATAAGTTTAAGTATTTAAGTCAATATAGATTTATGTGCAACAGTCTTTAAATTTAATACATAGTATATTGATACATCAATAATTTGTGTTTTAGAAGAGAGAATTATAAAAATGTTGATAAAACTGGGGGATCTGATTTTTATTCATTAGAAACATAAAATGTTTGATTTTCAATTCCGAAAGTAGAATTTTGTTGGTGTAGATGCGTGTTAAATTGACTTCTTTCATTACTCTTCCATTAGAAGAACGAGTTGCTTTCTGGTGTTTGAATGCAACGGAGTGCCACTCTGACTGTTTAAAGGAAGTCTTGTAAAGAAATACTTCACTTGCTTTTTCAAATTTCATTACCTTTACATCGTTTATTTTAAAATCCTGTCTATCAGTATTTTTGGAAATATTAATCCCCATTTCTTCAAATAAGGCTTTTAGATCAAAAAAATCTCCAAAACTCAGCTCCTTAACTTGTAAAGGATTTCCTTTCTTTTTTGTGTTCCTGATAATTGAGACGTATTGATCTGGCACATAAATAGGGCCCGACTTCTTTGCCTTTTTTACAGACCTCTCGATGATACTGTGCACTGCATCCCCCTCATTTTGTGTATGACCTCTAACTAAATATTTATGGGTTATTGAATTAATGTTGAACTTCTCAACTGCATACAAGTACATTCCAATGAAGAATCTGTAACAAAATGAAAACATTATAGGTAGGTAATATTCTTTCATACTTTAATAGTTGTTGTGTTGGTACATACTTGTTTTTTTGCTGACCACCACAGTTGTCTGAATAAAACACGACATCAGCTCCAGGTTTGGTTTTGGACAATTCCTCTAGATAGAGTAAAACGCAAGTCCCTATTTCTGCAGCACCTCTATGCCCGAGCCCTTCATGCCAGAAGAAGCAGAAAGTTTTGTCATTCCCAATTTCAGTTACCTAAGAAAAGAGGATAGGTAGGTACCAACTTTTCTGAAAATTATTATTCGTATCCTTACCGTAAAGTTGAAACAGTTAAGTCTGGATTTATAAAAAAAAATTGAAGTTTGCGCCATTGGTACAGGTAGTACCGCCTGCAAGTCATAAACTGCTAAAACAATGTCTTGGTTTTTGGCTTTGCTTTTATCCTGGTCCTTCTCATTACGACTAAGTTTTTTTTCTTCTTGATGTTCTTCGTATGCCTTTTGTACTTCAGTATTGTTTGGATTATTTTTATAGGATTCACATAGGTCACATTGATCTTTCTTAGGTGCGAAGAATCCAATGTTAAATTCTGTATTGAATATCCGGGCATATGTATCGTAAGTTGTGGTGGGTTTATTAGCTAAAGCCCTTTCTTCTGAATAATGCCTATGCATTTCGGCAATGGACAACCCACCATCTATAAATTCTCTTGACGTATCGCTTCTAACATAATGGCTTTCAATTCGCGGTATTGAGTTTATGTGGTCTCGGATGGAATTCAAGATTTCTGAATCAATTCTTCTGTGTTTACTGTGTTTCCCTCTTTGATCTGCAGGTGCAATTCCACAACCAGTTGCCTTTGACGCAATGACAGTTCGAATAGTTCTTTCAGCTATTCCTAATGTGTTTATCAAGAATGTTTTGCAAACACGGACTTTCTGTCCGTTATTCAGCAAATAGAAGGCGCAGTTAGGTTTGCGGGCTTCTGTGGATGATATGCGACGGTACTTCACTGTTAACTGTTCAATGCAAGAACTCAAAAAATCGCGCTGTCGTTGCAGAGAAGCCAACTCCCAGTATTCTGTGAACAATTGAATTCTGAATGCCTCACCAATTTTTTTCGTACAGGATAGTATGCATTTTTCTGAGCATGGTGGTCTCATTTTTTTCGCTTCAACCATTTTTCCGGCGCTTGATGTATACTTTTTCCCCGAATTTTTCAATGTCTTAGCTTTCACTTTAATCCAGTTTTCAACATTCCTTATTCTCTTTTTTCCTTTCTTAGCTGGAGAATCAGGTCCATTCTGAGCTGGTTCTAGATTCTCAGCTTCAGAATCAAAGGATTGTTCAGAGCAGCTTGACTCCCGACTACTTGATGGTGCATAATTATCACTAGAACCAGATGAAAAATCCCCATCTTCTGAAGTATTCGGACTAGAGGATGTTTTATGAACCCTTGTAAAATTCATCTTCATAGTACCTGTACTCTGAACAACGTACGTGCTTGAATTCTGAGTAATCATTTCATTATTGATGTTTTGCAATTCATCTTCAGGATCTGCAACGTCTGGATTCTGTGCACTGTTATTGAAATTCGCTTGATTTTCCATTGAACTTAATGCAAGTTCCATAATCCGATGACTTCGGTTACTCATTTTGAGTATTTATTACTAATTCAAGTAAGACATAAATGTAAGCATTCGCTTAGGTTCAGTGGCAACAATGGCAGAAAGAACAATTACGTCATAAAAGTAAACTCTTCACTAGGTTAATAATGACACAAAATACAGTTACGTCGTTCTTACGCTCAGCGTTTGTCACAATCACCAATAACGTTAGATGTAAAGTACACTTACGTCGTTATAGCACCGCAGCAATACCACAAGACGCCGAAACTTCCACATAAATAACTATTACACCGATATTCTTCTGGAATGGTTCAGCTATTTTGATTACGTCAACAATGACACAACTGCCATCTAGCGGCTGGAATTGTTAACTACAGATGCGTCATTGTTCCCCCACACAAGATAATGCGTTTTTGAAACAAATTCCACAATAAAATCGTTTTCCTCAATTTAGCAGTTATGTCATTGTTCTCCCGGAACAGCGACATATATGATATAAATAAGATTTGGACAAGAATGTAGATTAAAAAAACAAAAAACAAAGTACAAATATCATAATACATCAAAATACATAAAAATCAAATATCACAGTTGGGAGCACGCCGTAACAAATTCCTGAAATGAATAAGGGCTGTTTTTGACTAGAAACTCTTTTAGATCATTTCTGAACTTTATAGTTTGCTGATTGGTTACTAAAGTGGCTGGTAATAAATTATATAGATAACTCCCTGCGTAGTTAGCGAGATTTTTTGTAGAACTCATGCGTTGGCCTTTCGATGTGAAAATTATTCTTTGTTCTTGTGTTGTGTGTGTGAACCATGGAGTTCTTCAGAAGTGATTGTTTGATATTATGGGTGTGCACTAGTAGCTGTAAAATGTATATACTTGTCACTGTAAGGATTTTTTTTGTTTTAAACACTGTTTTACAGGATTGACGGTAAGGCATATTGTACATTAGTCTTAAAATTCTTTTTTGTGCGATAAGAACCCTGTTAACTTGCGATGATTGGCCCCACACTATTATGTTATAATTGATGACCGAGTGCACGTTCGCGTAATACACGACTTTAAGTTGTTGCTCATTAAGTGTGTTTTTTAGGTTTAGTAGCATAAAAAACGCCTTGTTAAGTTTAGTACATATTAAGTTAATGTGATCCACAAATAACATATGGTTGTCGATAATTATACCTAGAAACTTAGATGATGTGGAGGTGCTTAGGTTTACCTTGTTGAACTTGAAAATAAAGTTATTGCTTTGGCGATGCTTCGTATGATGTTCAATAATAACAGTCTTATCGTAGTTAATGATGAGCCTGTTTTTATAACACCACTCGTCGAAATCTCTTAGCGTCCGCTTTACTTTAGATTCAACTCCTCCAATGCTCTCGCCACTGATCACTATGGTAGTGTCATCTGCATACATAAATACCTTCCCTTCATGTAGATGATGTGGGAGATCATTAACGTACAGTAAAAAAATCAAGGGGCCAATTACGCTCCCTTGGGGAGTACCATGTTTCAAGTACGATATGTCTGATTTGTGGTTCTCCAGCTTCACTCGCATATTTCGGTTTGTTAGGAAGGAAACCATCCATTTATTGATATTTCCTCTGAAACCTAGAGTTTCAAGTTTTTGTGATACAAAGGATACGTCTAGGGTGTCAAACGCACGAGAGAGATCGAAGAATATGGAGACTGTTATGTGGCCGCTATCCATTTTCTTTAAAATATACTGAACGTATTCTGCTGATGCCGTCTGTGTGCTGCGTCCTTTTCTGAACCCATGTTGAGCTTGAGAGTGGATGTTGTACTGTTCACAAAAGATGTTAATTCTGTCAGCCATTATGGTTACAGCCCTTTGAATTTTCTTTCGAAATTGGTTTCTTTTCTAGTCTATAACTTTTGATTGAGAAGTCTGATCGAAAAAGTACGAATTGTTTTGGATTCTACGCTCCAAAATTAATAAGAAAAAGTGTTTTCCCGAGAAATTTTGGTGCAGTCTATTTTTGGTTAAAAAGGAAGGCTGTAACACTGCCTTTTTTGAGGCCCTCGAAAAAAATTGTCTCAGATCGACCCGGAAAAACAATTTTCTTATAGAATGTGGCCTGTAGAATACACAATTTCAAACAGTTCCAAGATTGGGCAACTAGTTCAAAAGTTACAGCCCTTTGAATTTTCTTTCGAAATTGGTTTCTTTTCTAGTCTATAACTTTTGATTGAGAAGTCTGATCGAAAAAGTACGAATTGTTTTGGATTCTACACTCCAAAATTAATAAGAAAAAGTGTTTTCCCGAGAAATTTTGGTGCAGTCGATTTTTGGTTAAAAAGGACAGGCAGGTACACTGCCTTTTTTTGAGGTCCTCGAAAAAAATTGTCTCAGATCGACCCGGAAAATCAATTTTCTTATAGATTGTGGCCTGTAGAATCCATAATTTCAAACAGTTCCAAAATTGGGCTACTACTTCAAAAACTACTTTGCTCTTACTTAAATACTACGTACATGAACTCACTTAATAATCTTGCTACTCTCTTAATATTAATGAACATTCAAAGTTTAAATAATAAAGTTAGTGATCTCGAAATAATAACCAACCAATATAAGCCTTTATTAGTGTGTCTCACAGAAACATGGTTAGCAGAAAGTGAACTGAAAATGTGTAAACTCTTAAATTATAATATAATTAGTGCTTTTAGTAGACAAAATTCGCGGGGTGGTGGTTGCGCCATTTGGACACGTTCTGATGTTCAAGCATCGTTTATTGACGTTTCAACATACTGTTCTGAAAATGTATTAGAAATATGTGCGTGTAAAGGCTATTTTGGACACTTAAAATTTACTGTTCTAAATATTTATAGACCTCCTTCGGGTGATTACAACACGTTTTTACGCAATTTAAATGCCGCAATAGATCAACTATATTGTAACGGAAATGCTCCAGAATTCTCTGGAATTTTCTACGCGCGCGATAGTGGAAGTTGTAGGAACATTCGAGAATGTACTGGACTTACATTGCTTGCGTGTGTAAATGGTTGCGGACCGAACATCGAGTTAGTCTACTATCGAACGAGATCGAGCACGGAAATATAAATTGCGAAGTGTGTGTGATATAATAATCGATATAAATTGTACGGTTTTTATAGTGCTTTAGTTTTGTTTAATAAATATTGATATAAATCGAACCCGAATTTATAAATAACGTTACAATATGATCCTTGGGTTCCAATCCTTCTGGTAGGCGACTTCAACGTAAATTTTGGGAAAATCGGCGAAAAGTACAGGTCACTCAATGACCTATTGGTCTCGTTTAATTTACAAGAAATAGTACACACATACACCCGAGTAAGTAAGCACTCCAGTACGATATTGGATAACGTATGTACTAATGCATCCATTACATTAGAAACTAATGTTCAGGACACTTACCTCTCTGATCACCGACTTATAAGAATTTCATGTAACTTACAACAGTCTTCGCCCTCAAGAGCCAACATCATTTCAAAAAGATTCTTTTCGAAAAGTAACATGGAACGTTTTTTTTCATATTTGGAAAATGAAACGTGGAACGATATCTACTCCACGGATGACATAAATGAAAAGTTCTCAGTTTTCCTTTCCACATTTCAATTTTACGTCAATATGTGTTTTCCTCTAAAAAATTATCGATATAACTCCGAAACTAAACCCTGGTGCACAGAAGCAACTCGTGGCTCTAGTACTAAGCTCAATGACATGTATGTCTTACAAAGAAAATACCCCGAACTAAGGGATAAATATACATATCTATGAAGAAAGCACACCAAAACTTGATAAACAATGCTAAAAGAAATCATTACAGCTCAATCATACAGAACGCGCAAAACAAGAGCAAAGAAACCTGGAAGGTTTTGAACTCGATTAGTAACAAAAACAACCAAATTCCAAAAAACCTGGAACTAAAGGATGACCAAGGATCTGTGGTTACATCAGCTGCAAAGATTGCCAATTTGTTCAATAAACACTTTCATAACATACCGTTCAAGCTTCGGGAATCTATTCCACACGCAGATTTACCTACAAACCATCTTAAGATAAATCCTAATTCCATCTATTTATTGCCATTTACGGAAGAAGAGGTTCTAAACCTATTCAAGAAGCTGAATAGCAATAGCGCACCTGGACTTGATGATATATCCCCTAACTTATTAAAACATGTGAAACTCATCACCGAACTTACGTATTTAATTAACTGTTCTTTACGCACTGGAACATTTCCAAATTGCTTCAAGGCTGCAGTGGTGACTCCTATTTTCAAAAAAGGAGATGCTCTCAACACGGCGAATTACCGACCGATTACACTGACGTCCTGCGTAGGAAAAGTGCTAGAATATGCGATGAAAGAGAGGATAACTTCATTTCTCTCAAAGTATGATATAATATCAGAGGCAACACGGTTTTCGTGAGAAGCAGTCGACCACGACCGCTACTACTGAAATATATGAGAGTATTCTTCTCACTCTTGAAAGAAGACTTCGAATGGTAGGAGTTTTCTGTGACCTAAGCAAAGCCTTCGATTGTGTCGACCACAATATTCTAATACAGAAATTGGAGTGGATGGGAATAAGAGTGTCGCCCTTAAATGGTTCACATCATATTTGTCGAAGAGAACCCAGGTAGTCCGTATTTCAACTTGGTCAAATAAATTCAAGCAGCAAGTGCGATCAGAAAGCTTACCAATTGCAATTGGTGTTCCACAAGGGGCAGTTTTATCTCCTACTTTATTTAACGTTTATATAAACGATTTGGTAACTTATTTATCTAAGTACGCTGAAGTAACCATGTATGCAGATGACATCACCCTAATGGTTAGTAGCACCCGTAACGGCATAGAAAGGGACACCGATTTAGCTGTAAATCACGTCTACAAATGGCTTATTGCTAACAAGTTGTTCCTAAATAAAGATAAAACAAGATACACACTGTTTAGCATGTCTTCGGTTCAAAATAAAAATGCGGAAGTTGGAATCTCCATATCA